GCCTCGTCTAACTGTTGCCAAAAAACATCCTGATGGGCCTCAAGACGTTTAAGAAAATGTTTTGTGGACTGACAAGACAAAAGTAGCAGGTTTGAGTGCTGTTACATCTGTCGTAAAACCACAGCACTTCAAAAAAGAACATCATACCACCAGTCAAACATGGTGGTGGTAGTGTGATGGTCTGGGCACAACCGCCTACTGGGTTTCGGGGTAATTACTTTTTCACACGGGGTCAGCTACGTTGGAATAATAGTTTTTCCCTTAATAAATAAAATATTTTTTTAAAACAGCCTTTTGTATTTACTTGGGTCATATTTGTCTATTTTTGGGGGAATTTTCTAAAACATGCAACAAAAATGTAAGACTAAGGAATTAGAAAGGGGGAAAACATTTTTCAAGGCATTCTACTATTAATTGTCAACCATATTCTTATATTATTTACAGAAAGTGACAATCGAGGAGTTCGTCAAAGAGACCACAGAGTCCTTGTGCGGCTCAATGCCACATTGAGAGCACAGTTATGTTGCGATTTACTCTTTTCGGTCTTTAGATGCATTGCTCTGCACAAACGTCCAGGGGCTCAGACTCAAGCTGTCTGTTTTGCAACTTCACCAACAAGCTCTCCACTCTCACAGTGACGAAAACACCAGCCCATAGAGCGAAAATGACTTGCAGCTCAGTGGTCTTCTAGAGAGGTGTAATGGCAGTGACTGTGCCAAACAGGTGGACTGGCTGTGCTCTATAACCTTTTCTCTAAAAAGCTCCCATTACGCCCAGCAGAGGAGAGACAACACAAAACTGTGTGCTGGAACCCCGCTGAGCCTCAGGAGAGTGTTCAGCTCACCTCACACTGCGCCTCAAACCTGTCAGCCTCATTTCGCTTTGAGGTGTGGGCGCCCATCGCAATTTGTGGTTACAAGGGAGTCGCTGCACGCATGCACTCGCATCGACTGTTTCCCTGTGTTCTTGGGTTTGGTCGCACAACTACTCGATTGCCAATAAGCTTGCTCTAAAAGATGCTGGGGAAAAAACGCCATACTAGCAATGCCCCAAATTATTTTGTGATCTAAAAAATAGTATTAGTATTATATTGTTGCAGGTGAAGCCCTATTGGTTGCACTGATCATGGTAAATAGTAAATAGGTTGTGCTTATTATGAACCTGGCAAGCCTGTTTGTTTTATTAGCCTGGATTAATAGTCACCCATACTTCTTGAACTAATGTAAATTATGCAAATGCACCGACGTGTGATTTTGCTGCAAGCTGTCCTGTTTGCACTGAGATCTGAGGAAACAGAGCCTGATGACAAGCTGTCATGTTAGCAGCATAGCACCACTGTTTTCAATATACATAAATGGCCTCAAAAAACTCTGGCACGGTTTGCAGCTAGTGATCAAACCGAAGTGAAAGCTACAAGTTCCAACAAGTCAAACAGATATCCAACAGTCGGGGCTGTGTATAAAATGTAAATAAAATTAAGAGCCACTTTGTTTTATTGTATAACCTCGCTTCCAGATAATTGACCTTTTTGGATTGCGCCTGCTTGGGCGCGCTTGTCTCTGGTTTCACATACTTTGTGTCTGGGAACGTTTTCTCTCAGAATAAAACTGTTTTTTCTCGTTTCCAATCCCATCATTCATCTCACAGCCCCTGTGAGTCATATAGTGTCTCGCTGGAGTGGTCACAACCCCCTTGTTGAGAGCCGCTGATATACAGTATGTTAGCGGGTGCGTGTGACGACAGCAGTTGGTCACTAGCGTATGTGCAGGACCAAGAAAGCACTGCCGAGTGGAGTGCGAAGTGACCTCGGAGATCGACTCCCTCCCATTGTGCTGCATCTTTGTCTGGCCCGAAACTCCGGTGTTAATGATTAGCCCTGCTGCTTTTGTGCACCTCTTACAGACAAAGCCAGTGCGAGTCAATTGGCTGTTGCCCACACAGGCAGTGTGCTGCGACGAGGCCCAAAGAGAAAACAATCAGGGCCGCCTGCTACTCGGGGTTATCAGTGAAAATATGTGCCGTGATAAGCTGAATAATGTAATGGGTGAAAAATAAAAAAAGAGGAAAAACACAGAATTTATTAAGGCTGTCAGTTTCTTCTGGGCATGCCAGTCTTCGGATAATCAAGTTAAACTCTAAGGACTCAGCGTTGTTGTTGTTGTTGTTTAATTTTTAACTCCATTTTAAATGAAAAGGCCTCACCTTTCATCTCCTGCTGATCTATTCCCTCGAGGGGTGGGGTGGGGGGTGGGGTGTAAGTGTCTGTATGTGTGTGTGTTTGGGTGGAGGGGGTGTGTTATGTGTGTGAATACATATGTTTGTGTGAGTTCATTAGAAGTTAGAGTGTCGTGGGGGAGCTGGGAGGAGTTTTGTTTACGTGTGTGTGTGTGTGTGTGTGTGTGTGTGTGTGTCTGTCTGTCTGTGTATACACACACATATATAATGCACATACTCACTGGCCACTTCATTAGGTACAGCTGTTCAAGTACTCATTGATGAGTCGTTCACGTGGCAGCAGCTCACTGCATTATGGCATGTAGAGATGGAAGAAAGGAGATTTTTTT